CATACATTACGAATACAAACTGGCAAATATGAACATAGAGGAGCAATAATCCCAGTAGAAGAACGAATACGTTTAGTATGCAAAGAAAATTCCATAGAACATGAAGAGCATTTCTTGATGTATTGTCGGGTGTATGCCACTTTAAGACATGAGCTGCACTGACTTACATATTTGAAACGCTGACACTAGCCCTCGTTTCCACAGTTTAAGGGATAACGGGAAGACGAAGTATTTACTTAGAGCAGAAAACACGGTTACATCTAAAATAATAGGTAAATACATCCATTTCATGTTTCAAAAAAGGAAAGAGATTCTTAATTCACAAATGTAATAAATGTTTGAATTTTTCAATTAATTGTATACGGATATGGTAAATGTTATTTTGTATTTTTATTAGTTAATGTTAAAACCGTTGTTGTAACTAGACCAATAACTCCTGTTGGAGAGTAAGGCGCAATAAAGAATATTACTACTATTACTATCACTATCACTATCACTATCACTGTCACTGTCACTGTCACTGCCACTGTCACTGTCACTGTTACTGTTACTGTTACTATTAATATAATTACTATTCATTCATTCATCTTTTATTTATTTATTTATTTATTTATTTATTTGTTTATATATTTATTTATTTATTTGTTTATTTATTTAATCACTCACATCATCCTTAGTTGCAACTGATATCTGTACAGCCTGTTCCCGTTCCATCTCTGAAGGTTGTCGTGGTATTGGCAGCACTGGGGTGGGAGGAGTATCGTCCTTGGCCAGACCTAAGGAAGTATACGTGCTTTAATTTCATACCAAGTTCTTAACCAATACATGCCACTTATTAACTGAGAGTGAGATCATCACTTGGATATCTCGGACTGAGGCCTTGAGGTATTGACCGGGCGATGGCGAGGTCAATACGTCAAGGCCGAGTTCTGAGATTTCCCTGTAATGACCAAGCGGACGAGGTTAATAAGTTATTTACTAGTAGTAAAGAGGTTAGTGAAGTGCGTTCGATACCTGGGGGAGGAAGGGGGTTCTCTAGGAATTTGTCGATAGGGTGTGTTGCTAGGAACATGAAATCTTTGGGCCATAGCAGCGGATATTCAGTTGGTATTTGGACATCTGATTGTAGGTTGGGTACCAGAAATACCTTCCCTATTGATATTCCATACTATATTAGACAGAAAAAATCAGAAACTAAATTCTTTTTATATCAGGATCCCCGATTGTTTACCAAATCCTGATTCCCATACCGTCAAAGTAGACCGCTGGAAAAGCATACCTTTGACAGCAGCGCACACTCAAGCCCATTTATGTCAAGTAGTTTCGGGGTATTGTTTAACTTTTGTGTCCTTTATTGGCATTAAATGTCACATTACTCTAAACGGCGCATCGTTTAGTATGTTTAAGTACTATGTATAACTATAGAAAAGAATAACATTAAGTTAAACCTTACTTCCAAAGATGAACGCTTTTAACTTAAGTTTACATGTAAGCTTGCATCAATTAAGCTTTGTTACTGCAGTGGAATTCCTTGAGCGGTGTGCATTTCCATTTCCTTTTCATCATTTGTTGTGCTACGATGAAATATTTGCAGTCTTTCCCAAGGTTAGTGAAGTTGTTACTTGATTTACTCGAGCTATTACAGTCGAGGCTTGCAACTTCATTCTCACAGAGAAGTTGAATTCCCGAGAAGAGCAGCTGAATCCTGACAGATGACACAGATCACAAATTGGTCTGTTATCCACGCAGTTTCGGAGAAAATACAGCACTAGCTACACAGCTTTCTGGTGTTTAGATAAGTACCTTTAGCCCGTAGCTATAGTAATAGTTCGAATAAAACAACTCAACTTCACTAATCTTGGAGAAAAATGCGAAGATTCCTACGTAGAACAACGATCGAAGAAAAGTACATGGAAATGCATGCATGGGTAGTACTTGGTGTGAGACCTCACTATTATTCAAAATGAGGCTTCACATCAGACCGAGGCTACTTGTGCCACATATCNAGTACCTTGACAATCGTAACCATCTTTGCTCAGTTCAAATCCTTTCTGGCATAAGCACTTGTAACTTCCAGGGATATTCTCACAATTCTGAGCACATTGATGGAGAGGTTTTTCTGGGTCACATTCATCGATATCTAGAGAAAAAAAAAACTGTCAAAATTAAAATAGCTATACATAGATAAAAGAAAAGCCCTATTTGAAAATAAACTGTGAACGGCGAGTTATCTGCTCTTACCATTTCGGGCGGGGGTGTGTGTATATGGATATACATGCAGCTGTTAAGGGCATGATTTTCAAGCAGCTTATCGGGATAAATAGTGGATATGGTTTAGAAATAAGAGACACACCTGCACCAAAAAATTCATGGAGAGCGCCCCACCCCTTACTTGGTCAGTCGTTACGATATATGAGTGTAATTGGTCAGGTGTGTTGTTGGTCTTGTTCTGCTTTGGGAAAAGTAATTACAGAAATCGTCTACAGTCAATGATAACAAACCACTTCATCACAGTCCGTTTCTAAGATTTTGTTCTATCCAAGAGCAAATAGTGTTTTTGCTTATGTACCACTCATATTAATATTGATATTCATATTATTAGAGTACTAAGTACCTTTGCACGTCTTTCCATCGCTCTCCAACCTGTAGTTAGAAGAGCATGCACAAGTTGGTTGGCCTTCACTTCCTTTGAAGCAAAATTGTGAACAGCCATGACCAGACAAACATGGATTTGTGGCTAGAAAAGAAGAGTTATCATACGTATTACTGACTACTGGTTATGCATTGTTGATTATTGGTCCAAAACCTTTCTAAGATCTTGGCATATAGGAGAGCTCGCTTTGAAGGCCACTGCTTCAGAACCAAAGATCAGCCGGACCATTTCTAACATTCTTCTCCAGAGACTTTCACGCCCGAGTCGAGGAAGCACACCCCTCACGTATCCTAGCATAATTACAAGAGATACCAGGCTCATCTTAACTGGGGAGAGCAATGACAAATGTGGCAAAACAGGAGGGGGTGGGGGGGGCATCGATCTCGAATGTAGTCGAAGGATGATGATAATAGCTAATTTTATACAGGGAAGAAAATTTCATGACATGTACCACCTTTCACTTGGTATCAATAATTGCCACACTTCTAGTCAGAAATAATTTCTCTCTGATAACACTTACCCACACAATTTGTCCAGTCAGCGGGATCTATTTCAAAATACTGGTTACAAGAACAGGTGTAACTCCCCTGATTGTTCACACACAGCTGTGTGCAGTTATTTCGTAACTCACATTCATTGATATCTACGTAAAAAAAAACAGCAGGGTGATGAATAGTCAAAGAAGCAATTACCACACTCGTACGTTAACGTATAACATAACTGTCGNTTCAAAATTGAAGTTATCATATGATAAATATTCAGTGGACAAAGTTTGAACAAAAATCTATTGTCAGTTTTATTTCAGAGGAATTACCTTAAGGGCATGATCATTCAAGCAGCATATTGGGATAAATAGCGGATATGGTTTAGAAATAAGAGACACACCCGCACCAAAAAAAATTCATGGAGAGCGCCCCACCCCTTACTTGGTCAGTCGTTACGTTATATGAGTGTAATTGGTCAGGTGTGTTGTTGGTCGGGTTCTGCTTTGAGAAAAGTAATTACAGAAATCGTCCACAGTCAATGATAACAAACCACTTCATCACAGTTCGTTTCTAAGATTTTGTTCTACTCAAGAGCAAATAGGTTTTTTGCTTATCTACCTCTCCTATTAATATTGATATTGATATTATTAGAGTATTAAGAATTTGAAGTGTCCAGTACCTTTGCACGTCTTTCCATCGCTCTCCAACCTGTAGTTAGCAAAGCATGCACAAGTTGGTTGGCCTTCACTTCCTTTGAAGCAAAATTGTGAACAGCCATGACCAGACAAACATGGATTTGTGGCTAGAAAAGAAGAGTTATCATACGTATTACTGACTACTGGTTATGCATTGTTGATTATTGGTCCAAAACCTTTCTAAGATCTTGGCATATAGGAGAGCTCGCTTTGAAGGCCACTGCTTCAGAACCAAAGATCAGCCGGACCATTTCTAACATTCTTCTCCAGAGACTTTCACGCCCGAGTCGAGGAAGCACACCCCTCACGTATCCTAGCATAATTACAAGAGATACCAGGCTCATCTTAACTGGGGAGAGCAATGACAAATGTGGCAAAACAGGAGGGGGTGGGGGGGGCATCGATCTCGAATGTAGTCGAAGGATGATGATAATAGCTAATTTTATACAGGGAAGAAAATTTCATGACATGTACCACCTTTCACTTGGTATCAATAATTGCCACACTTCTAGTCAGAAATAATTTCTCTCTGATAACACTTACCCACACAATTTGTCCAGTCAGCGGGATCTATTTCAAAATACTGGTTACAAGAACAGGTGTAACTCCCCTGATTGTTCACACACAGCTGTGTGCAGTTATTTCGTAACTCACATTCATTGATATCTACGTAAAAAAAAACAGCAGGGTGATGAATAGTCAAAGAAGCAATTACCACACTCGTACGTTAACGTATAACATAACTGTCGTATCAGTTATAATCAGGACCTCACCTCCAGTGTCAGATTACTGACCGACTTAGCAGGAAGCGCATGATTGTCGCGCCAAAACTTTTCCAGAAAAACGCGCATTATTTGTATTTTTAGCAAACCGTATTCCCGCGTCCATTCCTTAATTCCGCTATTGGGAGCAGAATGAACATAGAGGAACCCAAAAGATCACGAATACCTTCCACTCCCATTTCGGAATAGTCCCGAAAAAACGTACCCCTTGTTGATAAAATGCAGAAAGCGCATCCGTCCGAGAGCGTCAAAGAACGTTGGTGAACCGGTCTGTTAAGTTACTGTGAAACAAAACGGGTAGCCATTGTTGTATCATCCCAACGCTTATTTGTACGGACGGATTCAGTATTTAAAATCGGAGCAAAACTTGTTAAAATTATACGCTTAGTTTGAGTCCCGAAAAATAGCACTTCAGGACATTAACGCAGAGATGATGAACTTTCTGTTGTAATGTTGTAAGGTATTCAAATTCAAACCTCCAACTCATGGTATGAGACTTACCGTCACAGCTTCTTCCATCGTCATTGAGCTTGTATCCTTCACGACAATCACATAAATAGGACCCCGGGACATTGACACAGATTTGTTCACAGTTGTTTGAATTATTGCTCTGGCATTCATCGAATTCTACGAAAATAAACATAATTTAAAACTTCACTGCGTTAAAACAGGGGTTTCCATAAAGGAGCTCGTAGAGTGTTGACCCTTCAGGTCAATGAGGCAACAGTTAAAGTTGAAAAATCCTATCTGTATCACAATAATGATTTTCAAACTCTTTGCTTTCTTCCCTTTTTCTAATTTTTAAAGATAACCAGATGAGGTGCTAAAGTACCTATAGCTACCTCCACTTCGCAATTTCTTTAGTTCGAATGCAGTTTGATACAAAACACTCTTTGCCCATATTCTTGAGAGAAAATTGAGGTAAAAATATCACTTGCTTGGTTTCGATCTAATAAACTGATGCTTTGTGATTCCCTCCACACACCTGCACACTGGGCGCCACTTCCGGTATAACCGGTTGGACAAGGTCCGCATGTGTATCCACTGGCATTAGCTGGAGGAGGAAGATCAATGCACTCCACACCTGCGTAACACGGCTGACCATTCATCTCGCAGGCGTCAATGTCACTGTCACAGAACCTTCCTGTGTAACCTCCCTGACATGCGCATCCCATGTAAACAAATCTACTATCAGTGTTGACTGGGTCGCCTTCATCTGGTGAGACGCACTGTCCACCATGAGAGCAGACGCACATATTAATCGTGGGACTCCAGGTTGTGCTCGCACCTTTGTCGTCAGTAGCAACAAACGATAAGTTGAACTGTGAACAAATATAAACAAAACAAATATAACTTCAAGGATGTAGAACTCTATGTGGAATGTTTTAGTACTTGCAAATTGAAATTTGGTTACCGGCACCGCCTACCTTTCGTGTTGATGTAACAAGCCAAGTGAAATGAAGCACGTTTCCACTTTGGTTCACCGTGGCGCCTGGGGGTACGTTAAACACTCTAAATGTAATCGTATCGGTGTCTTCCGCTATGATGTCCAACTGAACAGTTGAATTATAGGTGGCGTTTATTGAGCTTGAATTGTTTATTATCTTGGGTGGAAAATTGTCTGCGCAACGAGGTAAGAAAACACAACAGCAGAGTTACCAACTTTAAGTACCAAATTCCACTATTAGAATTTTGTCTTACAACACCTAGCTCTTCAGCTGACATCTGTACAGTTATACACAACTGCCTTTCACACAACACATTGAAGAACGAATGTATACATGTGTTGCAAGGGTTTAATAGGGAGACTTTCAGGTATATAGCCGTCCTTCTGGATAAAGGACTGCGATTGCTATGACAATAGAGCCATCGGTACAAATAATGCTGCTGCCCAAACGAAACATACCTATTATACACATTTTCATCTACAGCATTTGAATTGCTTTGTTTAAATAGTGTTTAGTGTCAGTGCTTTCAGATCATTAAGTTTTTCAGAAACCCTTTTATTACCCCGCGAGATTGGAATTCGATTAAGAATATATTGTATCATTGAACAACTTTGAGAACCGTTTTATTCTTTTATGCAATAGCATGTTTTCTTCTTGACGACCAAGCCAAATCCTAGGGGGGCGGGGAAATGTGACGGTACATAACCAAGGTTTTCTTATAATCGTATGAATGCCTCTACTTACCAAGAATGTTTGACTCATTGACCAACTGAATATTAATATCTTTTGTTACCATGCCAATAGACAGGTCTCTTGTGGATGCCACGTCAAACAAGCATTCATAATCATCTCCACACTGAGCTTCAGCTTTGAGCCTTAAGCTGTCGTTATGCCACTTGATGTTATCAGCAAACATGGGCTCGAAATCCAGCTTAGCAAACGTGTCCACGCTTTCATTTTTAGCGTAGGCGAATAAGGACTGGGATTGATTAATTTGCCCTAAAACAATGCAAAATAACCTCAGCAACTGAGAAAAAATAACTGACTTATCACCCTAAAAGGCGGCAGCTACAACAATTACATTTACTCGGAGTAAATCAGTGTGAGTAAGTTGTAAGCTCAAATTACATCTTTTGGGTTTGCACTCAAAGGAGATATCAATCTTCGCTTTTACGTGTCATAATTACATTGAACTATATAATTCATAAATTGCAATCACTCATTTCACTATACCCTTTCTGGGTAATTACAAAACCCTCCTCGTCAGTGTCTAGTCCTGGTTAAATCAACAATTGAAAATCTGAAAAAGTGATTGACAATGGCATAGAAATGTGTACTTACACTTAACACCAAACTTGAAATGAATCTCTCTAAACGATGAGGAGGATTGTAGAACCGTCCCATCAGGCAACGTGTAGTCGTCATCCGGGTTATCATTCCAAGTTCCCAGCAAACCTTTCGTGGCATTCTTATAATCATCTCCAGGAGTTACAACGAAGGACAGCATTTCTTTCTTCTCACAGAATTCGACGGCCGTCGTTGATGGGAAAGAAACCTCCAGACAGTTTTCTTTAGGTTTTAAGAAAGAGATATTACCTCCAACGCTTACACTTTGGTTTGTTAGATTGCTATAACCACTGTAAACTACGCGGTCAATGAAAATGCTGATACCACCTAGAACCAACAGAGCAAAAAACAATTAAATTATAAGAAAAATACC